TGATGGATCCATTGGTTGGAACTATATATGAACTGATCACTGATAAGCCAATTGAAAGCAAGCAGGTCCCTATTTTGAACAAATAGATACAGGGTGAAGCTTGTGCTCTGTTCTTGGTGCACCAGCCACCAGGGATATATATATATGGGGCAAGGCTTGTCTTTGCCATAATTATTTCACACAGGATTCAGAACGCTATCATGATCTTCTAGGTAAGTTGCTTGATAATGATCAGAGGCTACTGTAGGTATCAATAAGGTGAACTCAGAATGGTGCCATGCCAGCTCTCTTTCCTCGGTACCACCCATTCACATGAGCGATGAAGGTCGTCACATGCAGCCATAGCCATGTCATCGATGGTGGCTCGTTGAAGGAGAATATAGGGGGACATCTGGTTGCTGCATGCTGGATCAAAATGCCAATAGTGTAAAATAGCAAAGGAGGACAAGGGCATGTATTCCTTTTTTTATTCCCCTCAAACTATGGAAGGTAATGTTGTGGCTCAGGAGCATGGTGAGGGTTTGGGGACCATCGAGCTAGGCATGCTCCCATTGAGATAGCACTAACAGGATTTGTTGAAACAGATATATAGTGTCATGCATATTTGTTTGAATCCCGATCGACAGATATAAAACCTTTCATAAAGAGATTTGAAAACATTAATGCAGGAGAGGATATGAATATTAAATGAGAATCAATCAGTTTAAAAACCGTTGAATTTACTTGTGCGCGCCTCTATATATAAAGCAACAAATAAGTTGAGCGACATGGAAACAAAACAAAAAGAAAAAGTAAGCTCCACGTAACATGTATATAGGCAAACCTGCATCTTCTCATGCAGCCGTAATTGTGTGTGTTAGAACTCCATGGTCCCATGGAAACCACCAGCTCAGAACGACTATGCAGATGAGCTATTTTATGTCAATCAAAACATACCAACAATCATTGGTATCTCTTAAATCTGGACAGTCGTTATTGTTGTTTGGAACATCATTGTGAATACCCTGGCAAGGTAATGAGAGTTCACTTACAACTGTCCATTTACATTCATGTTCAAACAAAAATCATTGCTATCTTTTAAATCTGGACAACATTAGCAATAAGTGGAACTAATGTATTCCAATCCAACTAATTTTTGGACAATCATATCTTTGCGGCACAAGATACCTGGAGGAGTGGTGTCCAGGGATTTTGGTACAATAAAATGTTTATGTCAGGCTAAATTATTTAACCATTTGGTAATGTTCCTGCACTACCCAGATTAAAGTGGGAGCTATTGTATATGTCACAGAGGAACAACAGTCAAGGTGAAATACATGAAAATCTAACAAAAAGGAAAAAAACAAAGACACCCTGCGCACTTTTATATGAGTCAAAATCTTCACGATTATCCCACAAAGTGCACTTTGACGTAAAACTGAACGTTACTTGAGGGAAGAGTTGTTTGGGCATGCCACTCCTCTGGTTGACGATCGACCTATGGTAGGCATGGGAGATGTTGGGAGCTTTCCGATCACAAGTTCTTGATTAAATTAAAAAAATGTTGCTCTAAATAAAATGCAGCTGTAAATGATCGAATCAACCGGTAGGTTACTAATCTTCATTGGTCCTGTACTGATTGTCGTTTAGTTTGTGGCTTTTCTATCATTGATCCCGTTGACAATTAGGACATGTCAGCAATCCATACAAGATAGCTCTGCAAATTTCTTAGCTCAAAGTGTCTATACTAGGATGGACAATGTGAAAAGAAACAGATTGTGGCTAATATAGACGCTAATTTTGTACTGACGGATTCAATGAACTCTTTAGCCTATTGAACATCTAGGATCTGCCTCCTTGGTAGCTTGTCCAAAATGTTCGTTTCCCATTTTGTTTTCAGATCACGCGGCAGCATTGGTGACAGAATAGTATCTTGATCTGCAGACTGCAGGCCACCCTTCCTGTCATTGCTCAAAGACATGCTTTGAGGGCTTCAATAAAGTGGACCAACACCGCTCCCATGCAAGCTCTGGTTTCATGGTGCCACCCATTCACATGACAGAGTAATAAGGTCACGGAAGCCGTGTCCAAGTCATCAGTGGTGGTTGGGAGCTGGAGAAGATTTGGAGGCCTGTGGTTGCTGGTTTTGACTTTTGAATGCCGATATTCTGTAATCTGGGAGGGGACTGGGGCCAGCTCTCCGTTTTATGCTCTAGTCTCGCGACTGTGGCCCTGTTTGGGGACTGCTGATAGCAGTATATAGTATATATGCAATGTGGGTACCAGGACACGAGAACTCTTGGCATGCAGATATTCAATGAGATAAAACTGACTTGATCACCTGAATAGCTGTCACATGTCAACAGCGATGTGCTAATCATTTCGATAATGAGATGAAACGGCCAATGGGTGGTGCACCTTATTAGCTATGATGTTCTCAACCGAAGGAAGAGCAATAAATTCTAGGTCTAGAAGAGATTACAGAAAAGTCATAAAAACAATGACTAGAGAGAACATACTGATTTTTTATTCGATAGTCTAACCAATTGCTTTTATCGGGTAGGGGCAGATGAAATATTTTTTTTTATGGAAATAAAACTTTTGACATCTATTTACAGGAAACCCAGCAGACACTCTACCGGAAAGTTTAGGTTTTCACTGTGTTGCATCCGATAGACCAAGCCTACCTGTAGCATTTTCCAAACCTGATGCACCATCAAAATGAAAGCTTGCAACTTCCGGACTCAATCATTATATTCTGGTGTCTGTCAAATTTATTTACCATCGCTATGACACTAGCATTCTTTTCTGGGTGCCACCCATTTCTGTTCAAAAGCACAGTTGATCTAGTGTTCCCTGCATGCTTCCCCATTCTCACCGTGCAGTTTTCTCATTGTTAAAGAATGGGAGAGAGGAAATGGGAAAAAAACGAGAGGCAGCGAAGCTCTAGTGAGTAGTTGGATACTAGGCAATAATATGTAGCAAGCACTAGTTGGGTACTAGGCAATAATATGTAGCACGAACCCATAGAGCTATTAATTTTTCTACACTGCAATTGTCAAGAACATGCGTTGCATTAGAACATGTACTTTTAGCTGAAAGAAAAAGCAGACGAATTAAATTGAATTGATGGCAAAATATCATGGTTGCTCGCTGAGGAATGGCTCATGAATGTAACTGCCAGGGTTGGCTGAGCATGACAAATCCATGATTGTTAAGGTGCTGGGTCCCATCAACAATTCGACATCCCTGGTCCACCACATATCTATTCAGGCCGGTTATACATATCACGATGCTTTTATTCTCGTTGGGTTCTTTGCGGTATAGTTTCCTTTGTCTTCCTATTTCATATTGAGCGTAAAATTGCCTAGCCAACATCTATAGACGCTACGACATAACACATTTTCTGAGTCGGGCAGACAGCATTATCAGAGGCGTGCAGTGTGCCTGCCTTTGCCACACAGTTTGTGTTCATCAGACATTTACAGAGGCATAGAAATACCACCATCTGTGCAACTAAACTTCTGAGTCATCACAATATTCTGAGGCAGACCAGCATTGCTGTAAATCGATTAAAAATAGAAAATATTAACTGACAGAACATGGAGGCAAAATCCGGTAGCAGCTAAATCCGCCACCACCCCACCAGATATTGGCTGCCTCCGCCCCACCAGAGATCCACACGAAATGGTGCCAGTGAGAATCCAGAGTTACTGCTTTATCTGTGGTGAAATTATTGTTATTAAGTGTATCATATACTAATTCTAACAATTCACAGGGGGTTATTGGCCATGAAGCAGCATATTACGGGTGCATGACATGAATGCACATTAAAATTCATAATATTTTGTTTGACGTGGAAAAATATGGAATAATGTATTCAAAGACTCAATAAACAACATATAATGATTGATTTATTTATTTTATGGTTTTATGGAAAGTAAATTGAGCATCGAAGCTTGGACAGTAAATTGCATGCTTGAATGGTAATGCTTGGTTGAGGGCGTACGTCCGTCCGGACGGATTTACCCCCGCACGCGTTATGCCCAAGGAAAAAAGGAGGGGTGCAACACTACCAGAAACCTCAAATTTGCTGAGTGTTTTTATATTTGCCAAGTGTATTTACTCGGGCACTCGGCAAACAAATTCTTTGCCGAGTGCTATCATAAAAACACTCGGCAAAGAGGGGAGTTCGCCGAGTGTGAAACAAAAAACACTCGACAAATATGGGGTTTACCGAGTGTCAAAAAATACACTCGACAAAAAGAAAGGTTTGCCGAGTGTCCCAAAAACAACACTCGGCGAAGCAAAAAAAATGTAGAAAATAAAAACCCCACCCGCCCCTCCCCTCCCTCACGCACACGCCCCCTCCTCCCGCACCCGCCCCTCCCCTCCCCAGCCCCCCGCACCCCCTCCCTCCTCCCCTGACCTGCCCCTCCCTCCGCCATCGGCCCATCCTCCATGCCCGGCGAGATCTCCTCCGCCGCCGCCCCCCCCCTCCTCCCTCCTCCTCCCACCGGCCCGACCCCTCCCTCCTTCCCTTCTTCTTCCCCCGCCGCCCTCCCTCCCTCCCTCCCTTCTTCTTCCCCGCCAGATCCGGCCCCTCCCTCCCTCCCTTCTTCTTCCCCCACGGATCCGGGCCCTCCCTCCCTCCTCCTTCTTCCCCCACCGGATCCGGTGCCTCCTTCTTCCCACTGGATCCCGCCCTCCCCTCCCTCCCTTCTTCTTCCCAGCCGGATCCGCCCCTCCCTCCCTCCTCCCTTCTTCCCCGTCGGATCCGACCCCTCCTTCTTCCCCACCGGATCCCGCCCCTCCCTTCTTCCCCGGCTCCCCCTCCCCTACCTTCTTCCCCGGCGCGCCCCCTCCCCTCCCACTTACCGGCACCGCCTCCCCACCGGCGAGATTCGGTGACAGGCGTGGATGGTGGCGGCGGCGGCGGTGCTGGTGGTGCGGGCGTGGTGTCGGCGTCCCTCCTCCAGATCCGGCCATCGGCGCCTCCCTCCTCCACACGGAAGGGCACCATGTTGGCCTCGGCGTGGTTGCTGCCAGCGGGCGAGGAGAGGCAGGACGCGGTGCCCATCAGTCAGGTACCGCCGTCGCCCTACGCCGAGCTTCCCATGTCTGCCGAGTCAGTACTGAAATTTATACATGTTTTTTTTTGGTAGATCCATGCAATGTGTTTTTGGACTGTTGTTAGCGTTAGATCTGTTAATTTTTGGCACCTACTCAGTACTGAAATTCTGATTGGATGGTTCTGGAGTACTATTTATCAACTCTTGAGCTAGCAGATTGATGATGAAACAATTACCCCAAGCGCTTTATTCCACTGATACCAGTGATGGAAAGCTATGTTACAATAGCTTTTGTGGTTTTCAATCTGAAACTGCAGATCAAGAGTTCAGTTTTTTTTTTTAATTTGGTGCTATTTTTTTTCTTCCAGTCATGTCAAGATGGAAAACTTGACTAGAAGATGGCATTTGGATCTGTTGTTTAGTTTCCTTTTGGTTTAAGTAATGGGAGAAGTGATGAGATTATATCCACACGAGATATCTGCGTTCTTTATGATGACAACATCATGCATCACCATCTGATCTCTCATTGCTTTAATCTATTGCTTTTACTAGAAAATATTGCCCCCCTAGTTTAATATTGTACTCTAGCTTTTATGGTTGGTAGTTGGCAACTGCACATCTAGCATCATTACAATCTTTTAAAAATGTTGTACTGCTATTTGTTGCTCTGATATTTTGATCTTGTCTGTGGTTGGGGTTTATTAGAGTTGTATAACATGAATTTTAATGAGAGAAGTGATGATATCATAACATAGGAGATATCTGCATTCATTGTGATGATCACATCATGCACTACCATCTGATCTCTCTTTAACATTTCATTTTTACTGTAATTTTTTGCCAGTTTTATAGTATCTTGTAAGTCAGCAGTAGTTCTCTAAAGTCTAAATAGTTATTTGTTGGTTGTTGTATTTTTTATGTGCAATCTGTTATGCAAATTCCCATTTTCTGAATCACTTTGATTATTGCAACAAAAATCACCATCTTTCGGCTGAGATTACACTGCAAATTTAGTTTTTATTGCATTCAGAGTATGTTTTCTAGTGTAATTTGTTGTACTCAATGCCATTTGGTATCTGACTTGCAGTCATTCTTTGTGATTGTGTGTCTCAAAACATGGCAAAGTACAAGGGGGAATGGATCTTGTGACACTGGTTGCTTATTTATGAGTTTCCAGTTACTATATGCCCATTTACATGTTCTGATTGTTCTAATGATCATGACTGAAAAAATTGATGATTGTTTTTTCTTAGCTAGTTAGCCAGCTAGGTGTAATTTGTTTTCTGAATATAGTCTTTTGTTTTTTCTTAGCTAGCTAGCCATATAGTGTAATTTGTTTTCTGAATACAGTCTTACTATTATTATTGGAGTTCACTTGATTGGCCTTTCTGCTAGTGGCATCTTGACTGAAAATTGATGTGAATTTTTTATTAGTTATAGGTAGTCTCTGGATTATTATATTTCACTTGATTGATCAAAGTTTTATTTAACTGATGGATGATTTCTGTTACATTTCAAATTGTATGGTATTGGAATGCATATCTGACATGATTGCATTTGTATGCAGATACCAAGCGTCTCATCGGCAGGAGGTTCTCTGATGCCTCTCCTCTGTCCAGAGCGATATCAAGCTGTGGCCCTTCAAGGTCATTTCTGGGCCTGGTGAGAAGCCAATGATTGTTGTCCAGCACAAGGGTGAGGAGAAGCAGTTTGCAGCTGAACAGATCTCCTCTATGGTTCTCATCAAGATGCGTGAGATCGCTGAAGCTTACCCTGGCAGCACGATCAAGAATGCTGTTGTGACAGTCCCTGCCTACTTCAACGACTCACAGGGGCAGGCCACAAAGGATGCTGGGGTGATTGCTGGCCTCAATGTGCTGCGTATCATCAACGAGCCAACTGCTGCTGCTATTGCCTATGGTCTTGACAAGACGGCTACCAGTGTTGGCGAGAAGAACGTCCTCATCTTTGACCTTGGAGGTGGTACCTTCGATGTCTCCCTCCTCACCATTGAGGAAGGTATCTTTGAGGTCAAGGCCACAGCTGGTGACACCCATCTGGGTGGTGAGGACTTTGACAACAGGATGGTCAACCACTTCGTCCAGGAGTTCAAGAGGAAGAACAAGAAGGATATCATTGGCAACCCGAGGGCTCTCAGAAGGCTGAGGACTGCTTGTGAGAGGGCGAAGAGGACTGAAATATGCTGAGAATTTTTTTTTGAAAATAGGTTTGCCGAGTGTAATTCCAAAAACACTCGGCAAACAATAATAGTATGCTGAGAAAAAAAATATTATTTTTTCTTTGGAAAATAGGTTTGCCGAGTGTAATTTTCAAAAACACTCGGCAAACCACTTTTTTTTTTGTCGAGTGTCAAATTTGACACTCGGCAAACAATTTGCCGAGTGCGCGATAAAAAACACTCGGCAAATAGCTGTTCGCCGACACTGTAGATGCCGTGTGCTGTTTGCCGAGTGTTACACTCGGTAAAGCCTTTGCCGAGTGTTTTTTAGTATTTGCCGAGTGCCTGTGGCACATGGCAAAGTCACTATTTCCGGTAGTGGTGCATTGTTACAGTCAGGTGGGAGCGCGTGCGGCCACTCATACTGGCTGCCTGCAGCGTCTGCTGCTGGCTGGACCAGCCAACCAGGCCCCTAGCCACACGCGCCTAGGGCCATAGACCTCCCTGCCACGCCTGCCCTCGGTTGCCTAGCGCCTAGGCCTGCTACTGCTTGTCGTGTCGCTCTTTTCTCTCTGTGTGTTGTCGGCGCCCAGGACTAGCTGCCCTTGCCGCATGCTGCCTGTCGCGTTGTTGCTTTGGCCGACCAGCTTAGGCGCTTAGCCAGCTGTAGGGCTGCCCATGCCGCTTGCTTGTTTGTGAGACGAGCGCAGGCCCACATCTGCATGGCAGCTGAGCGCTGGCCCAAATTTTTTCGTCATTCCATGGCATCGAGCTTCGTATGTTTCATGCGTTTCAGGTGTATGTTACATCTAGATGTTGCATGTGATTCATCAGGATGTTGCAAGTGTATGTTTCAAGTGTTTCATCTATTTTAGATGTGTTTTGCAAGTGTTATATGTGGATGTTGTATATGTTTCAGTGGCTATAGACATATGTTGCAAGCGTCTACTCAAAATGTTTCATTTGCTTCATACGTATGTTGCAAATGTTTTATCTGGATGTTGCATATGTTGCAGTTGCTATACATATATGTTGCAAGTGTAAGCTGTAATGTTTCAACTGTTTTAGACGTACGTTGCAGAAGTACTTAATGTTGCAACATGAGCAGGCATAGGCAGTGGGCACATGCAAAGGCGGACCCCGTGGGCATAGCGGTCCCCACGTGCGGGGCAAGCGAAGTGGGCGTAGGTGGGCTCCACCTGCATGCGCATCAGCAGGCACGGGCCGCGCACCTGCATGTGTACGTGCACTAGCATGTGGGGGCGAGCGTGCAGAAGTTGTGTGCGGCATGCGGGGGCGGGTGTGCAGGAGTAGCAGTTGAATGCGGGGCTGGCGCAGCATGCGGGGCAGGCACGGGCGTCCGGACGGGGGCTAGCCTCCGAACGTCCGGGCGCTAGCCACGCCCATACTTGAATCAAGTAAACTAAGTGACAAAATTAAAAGCAGGCATGTTCCCATTAAACACTACCGGAGACCGGCTTTTTGCCGAGTGTCAAGTGGTTTGCCGAGTGTTGTTTTTCGGCCACTCGGCAAAGACATCTTTGCTGAGTGTTTTTTTTACACTCGGCAAAGAAGCTCTTTGCCGAGTGTTTTTTTTACACTTGGCAAACAAGCTCTTTACCGAGTGTTTTTTTTGACACTCGGCAAAGAAGCTCTTTGCCGAGTGTTTTTTTTACACTCGGCAAACAAGCTTGTTTGCCGAGTGTTTTTTTTACACTCGGCAAAGAAAATTTCAAAGCACATTTTGAAGCAGTAAATTAATTCAAATAAAAAAGTTTTCAACTACAAAGTTGTATAACTCATCAAGATGTACAATGTTTGTTTTGGTCTTTTCTTCATATGAAAAAGTGAAAGTAAATTTGTTCACAAATCTAACATATCTCTCTAGTAGTTTATGAAACTACAAGAGAGATATATAAGATTTGTGAACAATGTTAGAACGACCATGTCGGATGAATAGATGACCAAACAACCAAAATAAACTTTGTAGATCTCGAAAAGTTATGAAACATTGTAATTGGCAACTTTTTTATTTGAAATCATCTTGTCATGCAAAACTGTGTTTAAATTTCAAAATTTTAAAATTCGAACTTTTCAAACGACCTCGGATGGAAAAACAACCAAAATAAACTTTGTAGATCTCGAAAAGTTATGAAACATTGTAGTTGGCAACTTTTTGATTTGAAATCATCTTGTCATGCAAAACTATGTTTGAATTTTAAAATTCAAACTTTTCAAACGACCTCGGATGGAAAAACAACCAAAATAAACTTTGTAGATCTTGAAAAGTTATGAAACATTGTAGTTGGTAACTTTTTGATTTGAAATCATCTTGTCATGCAAAACTGCATTTGAATTTCAAAATTTTAAAATTCAAATTTTGTAAACGACCTCGGATGGAAAAACTTCCTAAACTAAAAGTGTAGATTTTAAAAAGTTATGAAACTTTGTAGTTTACAACTTTTTTATTTGAATTCGTTTAGGGCCTCAAATAAGCAATTTACATTCGGTTTAGTATAATATATTAGGAACTAAAACGAAATCCAAACACAAATGAAAAGCGTGGTGTAGTGGTAGAGGAGGTTTGCCGGCAGGGGGAGGTCGCGGGTTCGATTCCCTTTGGCCGCGTTGCCGTGATTTGACGCGAAAAATTGTGGAGATGGGCGCGGGCGCTGGCCAGTGGGGGCCTCCTCCAACAAAAAAAAATTTTCTATGTTTTTTGGTAAAAATTCCTATTTTTTCGGGTTTTTATCGGTTCCAACTTTGCCAAGTGTCGGGCACTCGGCAAAGGCTTTGCCGAATGCCCGATAAAAAACACTCAGCAAAGTTGGCTTTGCCGTCACTTTTTTTGGCGAGTGCTGTTCGCCGAGTGTTACACTCGGCGAACCATTTGCCGAGTGTTTTATGTATTTTGCCGAGTGTTTCGGGCACTCGGCAAACTCAGGGAGTCCGGTAGTGAAAGTGCTTACCCACTATTTAGGTTGTTAGGACATGATGGTTACCATATATTAATAATAGTGCTAATCCATTTTGAAAAACTGAGGAGTAATAAGATGATCATATAAGATCTATAAGAGAAGATAGTTCCGCTCATTGTTTTGTTAGAAACCAGCAACACGCTGACCCGATCCAACAAAACTTAGAGGTGGGTTGCATGGGTTGTCTGGTTTGCAGTTCGAGCGTCCACAATTGTAAATGGTTTGGGCTATAGTCAACATATACAATCTCCAACTATGAGAGATCCGTACGTTACCGACTTGCCTGCTGATGCCTGCGCAAGATGCTAGTTAAGGTCGCAGGCCACACTGCCTATCTGTGCTCATTTGCCTCATGTGAACTAGGAAATGGTGAATCAATCTGGATATCTTGCCAGTTGTCATTCCTCGGTGCCACTCATTCACATTTAATCTGACGACCAAGGTCACGGCAGGTGGTGAAGTCATCAGTAACGGCTATGCGACGAGGAAAATAGAGGGAGATGTGGTGGCTAGATGGTTTCGAATACCGAGAGTGAAAACTGGGAGGAGGCGGATGAGGGCACTGCGTTTTATGCTCCTTAGTTCCAGAGTCTTTTGGGTTGGTGATGTGGAAGACCATGGTGATTTCAGCACGGACCCAGCTGCATTGTCTATATGTCCAGACTTTTAAGAGACACCTGCCCGTGCACAATATAGAGTGGGTAAAAATAAAGTAGCACTATATTAGGTTTTTAGAAAAAACACTAGATTAGTTTGAACCCAACTGATTAATTAATTGAAAATGTAGGGCCCACCATACATATAAATAATGATTAATATTTTACATGCCACTGATATGCATGACAATGGTTATTGATCTTTCCTTGCTCCCACCCAGGTGCAATATAGTTGTTACAAGGGCCAAGTGTGGTTTGGCCATGGTCATTTTGCATGCCAGTTTCTGGAGCTCATAGTCCTGCTACGCGGAAGAGCTGCACACACTGTGCTACAAAGAAGTAGGCACCAGGTCGTTCGCTGATCCATGCACCATATGCATTCCCAACTGAGCTGCAGCAATCTCAGATGCATTTGTATGTTACCAGTTTCAAGACGACTCTCCAAGGATACACCACATGCACTGGAGGATAATGTTAGAGCACTTCCATAGATGCCACCCATTCTCAAAAGTGTATTTGCACACCTCTCTGGACGAGCAAGAGCTCATTTAGCAACCCATAAACTACCTATATGTGTAGCTATATATTACTTCAATAAAAGCCCTCTCTTTCTCTTGCTTTTGGTGGCCAAAATTTGTCTGGCAACTAGTGTCACTGGTTAGTGGATGCTGAGAATTACATAATGGATGAGTGCTAGCTATTATTATATAGAATTGGATGAAGGGCCCCCAATAAAACGAGGGTTGTTTGTGCATCCTAGGGTGTGCTGATAGCTGCAAAAAAGGTGTCGTTTGACTTTATTTGCAGATTTTGGCCAAAACGAACTTATAAGGTGTACCAAACAGCCCAATGAAGAGTACTATTGTACAAGAACATGAGAGCTTCTGGGTAGTTTTTAACGAGACAAGACTACAAGGAAAAAAATATAAGTAAACATTACAACAGAAATAATGATTACATCCGCCACATCTACACTGGTTTGATGGCTGTGCTTGCCTGACCAAATGTCTATACTAGATGCCACAAATGGGTTGTGATACTGCCAATCGTCATATATAATGGGTTTATTCTACAGACTGGTTGTGGTGCCATAAGAGACCATCACTACCGGTTATAACACAGAGAGCTGCGCAAGACCATGTAACACAACCCGGTTCATGTTTAAACCCAACTGTATCACCTCTGTACCAGTTCGCATCTGTATAGCGACTTCAGCAGGCTCTAAAAACACATTCATTTAGCAATAAATTATGTTTTAGTTTTCTGAATAGAAATTTTGTAGGGCTGTTTTTTGATTCTACGGTCAATTGCTTTGCAGTTTTGGACTTTAAGATCGCTTACTTGTTCACTTGAAAGGTACATCACCAATGGTTTTTTTTGTTTGTACCTAGAAA